CGACTTTATGTCATAACTTTGTCAAAACTCGTCCGATTACGTTGATTTTGCTGTCATTCAACTCAGCTCGACGAGCTCTTTCGAATGAGCATTTGCTTAAATTTTTTTGTTCCAAGAAATCACCCCTGTGGTTTTTCAATTTTCAGGGGTCTGTATCTCGGTCCAATCCGGTCGGATTTTGTCTATTTTGGTGTCATTCGACTCGGTTTGATGTGTTCTACAATTCTTGTTCAGACTGACCATTTTTAACACTTTGAAACAGAAAAAAGAGAGGGGGGGTACGAAGTTCAAAATTACCATAATGTAATAAATAAATAAATAAATAAATAAATAAATAAATAAATAAATAAATAAATAAATAAATAAATAAATAAATAAATAAATAAATAAATAAATAAATAAATAAATAAATAAATAAATAAATAAATAAATAAATAAATAAATAAATAAATAAATAAATAAATAAATAAATAAATAAATAAATAAATAAATAAATAAATAAATAAATAAATAAATAAATAAATAAATAAATAAATAAATAAATAAATAAATAAATAAATAAATAAATAAATAAATAAATAAATAAATAAATAAATAAATAAATAAATAAATAAATAAATAAATAAATAAATAAATAAATAAATAAATAAATAAATAAATAAATAAATAAATAAATAAATAAATAAATAAATAAATAAATAAATAAATAAATAAATAAATAAATAAATAAATAAATAAATAAATAAATAAATAAATAAATAAATAAATAAATAAATAAATAAATAAATAAATAAATAAATAAATAAATAAATAAATAAATAAATAAATAAATAAATAAATAAATAAATAAATAAATAAATAAATAAATAAATAAATAAATAAATAAATAAATAAATAAATAAATAAATAAATAAATAAATAAATAAATAAATAAATAAATAAATAAATAAATAAATAAATAAATAAATAAATAAATAAATAAATAAATAAATAAATAAATAAATAAATAAATAAATAAATAAATAAATAAATAAATAAATAAATAAATAAATAAATAAATAAATAAATAAATAAATAAATAAATAAATAAATAAATAAATAAATAAATAAATAAATAAATAAATAAATAAATAAATAAATAAATAAATAAATAAATAAATAAATAAATAAATAAATAAATAAATAAATAAATAAATAAATAAATAAATAAATAAATAAATAAATAAATAAATAAATAAATAAATAAATAAATAAATAAATAAATAAATAAATAAATAAATAAATAAATAAATAAATAAATAAATAAATAAATAAATAAATAAATAAATAAATAAATAAATAAATAAATAAATAAATAAATAAATAAATAAATAAATAAATAAATAAATAAATAAATAAATAAATAAATAAATAAATAAATAAATAAATAAATAAATAAATAAATAAATAAATAAATAAATAAATAAATAAATAAATAAATAAATAAATAAATAAATAAATAAATAAATAAATAAATAAATAAATAAATAAATAAATAAATAAATAAATAAATAAATAAATAAATAAATAAATAAATAAATAAATAAATAAATAAATAAATAAATAAATAAATAAATAAATAAATAAATAAATAAATAAATAAATAAATAAATAAATAAATAAATAAATAAATAAATAAATAAATAAATAAATAAATAAATAAATAAATAAATAAATAAATAAATAAATAAATAAATAAATAAATAAATAAATAAATAAATAAATAAATAAATAAATAAATAAATAAATAAATAAATAAATAAATAAATAAATAAATAAATAAATAAATAAATAAATAAATAAATAAATAAATAAATAAATAAATAAATAAATAAATAAATAAATAAATAAATAAATAAATAAATAAATAAATAAATAAATAAATAAATAAATAAATAAAAATTATTCAGAAACTGACAAAAACATTTAAAAATTCTCTTGTCTTTTAAAGAGAAAAAAAATTATTTCTGGATATTTAAGTATATAATTAAAAAATAATTTTTAAATAATTAAAAGCCCTAAACTCCAACTACGGCGTTCTTAGAGAATCAGAAGCTAAAATGTCACGGAGTAATTGAAGGAGTAATTACCCCCGCCCCTCCCTCCAATTTTTAGAGATAATAAATATTTTAAATGATTAATAATTTAGTAGATTTTGAGAAAATAAATATATTAATTTAATATACCTAAATATATTTATACATAGTTTGGAAATCTGGGGAAAGAAAATTTTGTCATCAAGAAACAATCACAATTTTTTAATTTAAATTCTAAAAAATAATTCTGTTGGGATTAAATATATATTTTAGTATGTATGTGTAATTTTATTCAAAAAAATTAAATAAAGTAATATGTAGAAGAATAAATTATCTTTTGAATATTCAATGAACTTTTTAGAGAAAATAAAAAGAATTAAAAGTCCCTTTTCTCTCCAATGAAGTAATCATAAAATTATTTTTTTTATTATTTTTTGCTTTTAAATTAAAAAAATTTTTTTTGTTAAATTTGGAATATTTTTAAAGTAATTTCTTTAAAAAAATTATTTTTTTAATTATTTTGTTGTCAAAGAATTTTAAATAAAAGAATTTGGCCTCCTGCAGTGTAAAAAGTGCCAATTCTTTTTTATTTTGTCGACTTTTTTCGAAACAAAAGAGCCACCAATTTATTAACAAAAGGTTGAGGTGTATTGAAGCATAAAAATTTGAAAAATAAAAATTGTTTTTTTCCAATGATGAAATTATTTGTTTAGAAAAAAATTGAAAAGGGAATAAATAAACTTTAAAAATATATCTCCGATAAATTCGAAACGAGAAAAATTGAAGATTTAAGATAATTGAAAATATCTGAAAGATGTGAAGGGGATCATATTTTTCCGTAGTTTCATTGGAATTTGTTTAAAATTTATAGAAATATTGCCAAAAGCATATGATGTCAAATATCTGTAGATTGCTTTTTAAAAACTCTTTAATTAAAAAAAGTCAAAGACAGTGTGCACAAAAATTCTAATTTAACCTAAACTAATTTACCTACCTAATGATCTTTCAAAAAAATAAACAAATTTTCAAAATATATTTATTTTAACAGAAGAATAAAAGATTAACACACAACAACCTCTCACAAAAAACAACAATTTCTTGTCCTTTATTCAGTTTTGGCAGCCTTTTTCAGCTTTCCCATCTCCTCACGAATCAAACGGTTCCGGTGCTGCTTTGCTTTGAACACCTTGAAACGTTCAAAGTCTGTGAGATTTTCACGCTGAAAAAATAAAAGAAAATAGAATTAATTTTTGTTTAGAATTGAAATATTATTTTAATTTAAAATTCAGAAATTTGCAAATAAATTAGAAAAAATGTTTCCAATTAATTAAATAACAAAAAATTAAACCAATTTCTTTCGAGCAAGACGTTTAGCCAATTCGGTTTCCCCCCATTTCTTGTTGATTTCAGCGCCATCATAGGCCTTGCCAATATTTTTTGTACGCTGCCCAACACGAATATTTATCTTGAATTTAGTCAATTGCATGTCTTTAAAGTTGCAAACACAACGGCGAACACCGGAAGAAGGTCCATCAATAAGAGCCTGAAATTTTGTTTTAACTAAAAACCAAACAAATAAATCCCTAAAAACAGTTAAAATAAACATGGTTTATATTAGTCATTTAACATTGTCGTGTTTTTTTGTTTCATTTAATCTATATTAGAAATTAAGGGGTCTTTCAGAAATTTGATTTCTAATTGAAAAAATAATTACAAAAATATCAGTCAAAGTCAGGAAATTGTTAAGTATAAATTGAATTTCAAAACATTGATTTCCAATGTATTGTATACTGAGAAAAAGACCGCAGACATGCACAAATATATATTCAATAATTAAATTCAAACCCAATTAAAAACCCCACAAATATTTTAAATTTATTTAAAAACCTTATTTCCATCAATAACATTTGCAATAACAGCCAGCTTTCCTTTATCCTTGCCTTTTGTAATATAAACTACTCGGCCAATTTCAACAAATTTGTTGTATATCATTTTATATTTAAAATAACAATTTAAATATCTAAAACATAAAAGAAAACATTTAAATTAAAAACAAAAGATATCCCTATTAAATCCAATTATCAAAAATGCTGGCAATCAACAATTGCGTGAAGTTAATCGATATTATGAAAACTCTTTAATTTACCATTTTGAAAAGACTAAATGTCATTTATTTAATTGGCATTTTATTTTTAAAATTAATTTTTTGTGTTAATTCAAATTAAGTTACAGTATGAGGCTTTTTTAAGAGGACTCGAGTTTTGGGGGGTTTTTCTATATTTGTAATAAACATGAATAGCAACAAAATACTTTACTAATAGGGTAATTTTCAGAATTTTCGATTCAACCAAACTACATCTCCCAAATTACTGTTAAAAATCTGAAAGCGATTTTGAACATTTTGTTTAGAAACATTTGAAAACCTAAAAGCCATAAAAAGATTTTCCTAATTTGGTGAAATTTCGTTTTTGCAAATGTAACTACTTTGAAAGGGCTCATCGAGCTGTGTTGAATGTAATTGGATGGATATATTTTGAAAAGGATGTGGCGATTTGAATAATTCACCTCAGAAACGACCAAAAATTAATAGTTGATAATTTTGCCTAGAAGTTTATGTCTTTCGATATTTTTGGAGAACTCTAATTTATTTAAACGAAACTTTGTTGACTCTCTTCTATTAAATTGTTTTTATTTAAAATTTTTATAACCTTCTGAAATAATTTAAAAATATTATTTTAATCATTCAAAAAACCCAGACTAGATACTTTTTTTTTTAATTTTAGAATTGAAAAAATAAATAAGAAGTATAAATATTAGAAAAGAAAATTCAATTTATTTACAAATAAAATGGTTAAATTAAAATACTTTTTTTCTCTTCTATTTCTGTTCCAATTTTAAAAAATATTTTCTTTTCTTTAAATAAAAATGTTTTTATTTTTTATTATTTTAATATTTTCAACATTTTTATTACAAAAAGCTTCAATAATTAATAAAGAAAAAGTTAATGTACTTTTTCTTTATGATAATCAATTAGAAGAAAATAATAAAAATGAAGAATTATTACAAGTTAAAAATGTTATTAAACAAGTATTAAATGAAGAGGAAAATAATGAAAATAATAAAATATTAATAGATATTCAATTAATTGTTTGGCCTATTGAAAGAATTAAAAATGATAAAAATAATTGTAGAGAAGAAAATTATGGGTAAAATTTCGATATTTTTGTGTTTTAATTATTATTTACTCTCAACACTTCATTTACCTCCAAGCAGTATATTTAGTAGTAAGGATAGGGCTTTTGTTAGAGATCGTATCAAAACTCGTACCTGTATACGAAGTACGAGTACATATGTACATGAGCAAAAAAACAAATAAATTTTAAATGGGAATAGAAAACAAAGCTTGTACTTGAGCGGTTAATTTAGTTTTTTTTGATTCTCCAAAGAAATGTTTTGTGACAAATACCTAAAGAAATATCTGTCAAAGATTTTGCTACCCCCTTTTTTTATTTTAAGGTGCGAGCCAAATCGTCTTTGGATAACCCAAGATTTAGTCTGCACTCGTCTTCTAAATAGTTCATCTTTGGTAGTTCTTACACAGTCAGAACGAGCTGACATAACAGCTTTTCGTCCAATTAAATCAACATTATCAGCTGTTGCATCAGCATTGGGGTTTTATCGAGTACCTACTATTGGGGCAAATATTAAAGATACAGAATTTTCTAGAAAGGTAACTTTTGTTTGGAATTTTTATTCTAGCTAGTCTTTCTGACATTTCCCACAAAAATTAACAAAAAAGGATGTTTTTATGTAAATTTACAGAATTTATATCCAACATTTTTGCGAACTTCACCTCCATATAGTGATGATGCAATTGCAATGGTTCGAGTATTATTCCATTTAGAATATAGACAAATTGTTCTTATAACAATTGAAGCAGACCAGAATGGAGCAGAATTTGCAGCCGCTTTAGCCGCACATAAAATACATGTTTACATAGAGAGAGAGATTTTATATTAAAAAATTTATTTTTTTTTAGATTCAAGCACATATAACTTTAAATTTGGGTTCTAAATCACTTGAAGAATTGAAAAATAATTTACTCGAAGAATTAACAGAATATACAGCAAATACTGTTCTTTTATGTGCAAAGTATAAATAAAATCTTTTTGGGGTTTTTTCTGTTAATCCAAAAGTCATTCTATACAAAAAGTTTTTTTTGTTGAATGGCTAGAAATTTTTTGTCTGTGACATCGTTTATCATTTTTAACTTTTAGTAGAATATCATAATTATACAAACAATTTCTGTAATATTTATGAAACAAAAATGTTTTCTATTTTCTAAGCAAAAATCCCAAAAACATTTCTGAATCCTCCCCTACTCGCTAACATGTGGAGATGTATAAAACAGAAAATAACTTTTTTTAATATTTAAAAAATATTTCTTTTATTTCAAAGGCAATCAGATTCTGAAATAATATTTAATGCTTCTACTAAATTTACTGGAGCTGGACGTGTTTGGCTTCTTTCAGAAGCTGCTAGTAATGCAAAAAATATTCCTAAAGGGGCATTAAGTATTCGACTTAAACAGTCAATGATTTCTTCTTTAAGAGATGGGTTGGCTGTTGCTAAAGCTGGAATTAAATCATTTAAACAAAATAATTCTTTAAAATTTAATCCTCCAAAGGGATGTCAACATTCTGTTTCTGAATGGACAAATTTTGCTGAAGAAAAACTTTTCGAGTTTTTTCTTTTGTAAAAAATAAAAAAAAAATTTTATAAAGTGAATTAAAACGTCAACCAATTTATGAAACTTTGAGTGGAGAACAAATAAATTTTAATGAAAGAGGCGATAGGAAGGGAATGACTTATGAAATATTAAATGCTAAAGAGTTTGGTGGACCTCTTGTAGTTGTTGGAAATTTAAATGGACGTGGAGAATTAATTTTGGATGATAGAGCAATTATTTGGCCTGGGGGATTGAGAAGAAAACCTTCAGAATTAACACTTCCAAAACATTTAAGAGTTACTTTAGTTGTTGATCCACCTTTTGTATATGCATTTAAAGGTAAATATGTAGAGACTAAAAATATTTGGATATCGATATCACTCTCTTTTCTCCTTATTACATTCGTACAATTTGGTCCCGTGGGTAACATTTTATCAAAATTCAAATATGATTAATAATAAACTTCATTATTTGACATAATTTTGTTACATACATATCTTATAACCTGTGATGAGCATTTATCTGTTTTCTAGCTCCAACCCGGCAGAGCTAAATAAAGTTATTCAATTTTATACATTTATAAACGAAGAGGGGATCCCTGAATAGAGGAAGTCCTGTTGTAAATCCATTTTTAATTTTTGTAGTTGATGAATATTCAAGATGTTCCAAACTTCAATTTCTAAATAATCCAACAATAAATGTTGAAGGTTTTCAAGTAGTTAGTCAAATTATTTTTTTAAAAAGTATTTACTTAAATTAATTTTTAAAGTCAGGTCCTTGGTTTCCTTGTGAAAAATTAGAAAAAAATAAAAAAGAATTTTATTGTTGTAGTGGAATGGCTGTAGAATTATTGTTTCTTATATCAGAAGGTTCTAAAAGAATTAATGGAGAAGAGAAAGGGGAAAAAGAAGAAGAAGAATTAATAGTAGCAGATAATAGCTTTAGTTTTGAATTAAAATTAAATGATTCTTATGGGGCTGTTTTGCTTGGTGAACAAGAAGGAGAAGGATTTAAATTAACTGGAATGGTTTTAAAATAAATTTAATTTAAAAAATAATATTTTCTTTAAAAAAAAGATTGGAGAATTAGATGCAGATAGGGCAGATATGGCTATTGGGGTTTTTGTGAAAATTTAAAAGAAAATATTTATTTTATTTAAAGGCTTTAAGTATAAATCCAGAACGTGACCGTTTTATTGACTTTAGCGAGCCCTGGTTATATCATGGAATTCAAATACTTGAACGTTGGGTAATTAATTTAATAAATATTTAATTTAAATTATTAAATTCTCAAAAAAATTAATTAATTTTCGCGGCCACAGCGTCCAAAACGTTCTCCAATGGAATCATTTTTGCAACCTTTAAAGAATTCTTTGTGGCTTTCTTTGGTTATTGCTGTATTTTTAGTTGCTTTTGTTGTTTATTTTTTGGATTTAAAATCTCCATTTGAACGTTTTTATTCTTCTGGACAAGATCCTTTATTTGAAAAAGCCGAACAAGAAGAAAGGGTTTCTATTGGAGAGGTGAATATTTTAAGTTTATTTTTTAAATTTATTTTTTTAGTCTTTATGGTTTTCATGGGGTGTTCTTTTAAATTCTGGTGTTTGTGAAAGTAATTAAATTGTAAATTAATATTTAAAAAATATTTTTTAAAGAAACTCCGAGAAGTTTTAGTGCTCGAGTTTTGGGATTAGCTTGGTGTGGATTTTGCATGGTTAATAAACAATAAATAAATTAATTAATTTATTAAAAAAAAGATAATGGTAGCTTCATATACAGCTAATTTGGCTGCTTTTCTTGTTCTTGATCAACCAGAACGTTCACTTTCTGGAGTTAATGATCCAAGGCTTCGAAATCCTTCTGCAAATTTTAGTTTAGCAACAATTACACATTCAGCTACTTATCAATATTTTAAAAGACATGTAGAGTTGTCTACAGTTTTTAGAAAAATGGAGGCAAATAATCAACCAAATGCCCGTTCTGCTATTCAGGCTTTGTTAAATGGGTAGAGATTTTTATTGTAGTCAGCTAAGGATTGAAACAATTACTTAAAGTAATTAATAGTAGAGAGCATTTATAGTATAGAGTAATTAAACGAAAAGTATTGTCAATTGAAAGTGTCAAAATTTCCTACAGAGAAGTTACTAAAAGAAAAAATAATTTTTATTTTTTATTATTCTGAGTGTGTGGTCACAAACACATACTTTTTTTTCCATTTATTCCTTTTTAGTTCAATAAGCGCTTTTGTTTGGGATTCAGTACGCCTCGAATTTGAAGCAGCTAATAATTGTGAATTACGTACTCGTGGGGCTCTTTTTGGTCGTTCAGCATATGGAATTGGACTTAGAAAAGGAAGTGCTTGGACTCCACATATTAGTCAAGCAATTTTACGTTTATCAGAAAGTTTGAGAAAAAATAAAAAAATATTTCCCCCAATAAAATATTTAAATTCAGATGGAACTTTGGAACGTTTAGAACAAAAATGGATACGTTCCCCAAATAAAAATTTCCGTCCCTGTTTTCATTTTGAACCAAAAGCTCCTGCACGTCTTGGACTTAGATCAATGAGAGACGGCCTTGTTCTTGTCGCTTCTGGTATTTTATTAGGTGCTGGAATGAGTATATTGGAAAGAAAAAGAGGAAAAAGTTTACAAAAACAAAAGTAAAAAATAAAAAAAAAGAAATTTATTTTTAAAAATATTTAAAAGAAAAAGGCAACAATTAGCTCGTCAATATGCTGCAAAATGGTTAAAATTATCAAAGAGGAAAAGGGAAGGGACAGATTCATTATTATTGAGATTATCTGCTGCATTGTGTGATGAAAAAAGAAAACAAAAAGAAGAAAAGTTAAATAAAAATATTTTTATTAAAACAACACCAATGTTTGTTCCAGAATTAAATTTTGGAAGAAACCCTTGTAATGTTTATTGCCCTCGTTGTCATGTATGTTAATTTTTATTTAAAAAAATTTCTTTCTTTTTAAAGCATTTTACCCAAACAATTACAAAACCAATTTTTGGCCGTTTTGCTTTAATATGTTCTTTTATTTGTATTTTATTACTTCTTTTCCCTTGTGCATTAGCTCCTATTTTCTTAACTTGTTTTGCAGATTATGAACATTTTTGTTCAAATGGAGAATGTAAACATAAAATTGGAAGGTATAGACGTTGTTTTAAACCAAAATTTTTTGTTTAAAAAATTTTTTCTAATTAAAATTTTTCAAAAAAATTCTTTTTATTTTCCACTAAAATTACAAAAATAAAATTTTTAAAATTTAACAAAATAAATAAAAAATTGAGAAAAATTACGACCGAATAATAACTCTGGGAACATCAAAATCTTCAGCATTCTAAAAAAAAGAAAAATTGAGTATTTTTATTTAAATTTGTTTATATTTGTTAGGGAATGATGGGGCTATAATAAAAGATAAAATAAAGGAGGGAGAATTGTGTTCTCCCAAGGGGGCCAAAAAATAACTTGTTTTTCTTTCAAACAAATTTTAAAAAATTATTTCTCACAATTTTGGCGAGATAAACATCAAAAACTTCGCCCATAATTTCTCTTGCAACAATTGGACCCGCATGAGTTTCAATAAACCAAAAAAGGAGAATCTTTAAATTAAAAGTCTTTAAATTAATTTTTAAAAATTACCCCATCATTAATAATTGATTTTTTGGCAAACAATTTAATTAATTTGTAATGAAGTTTATTAGAAGAATACATAATTTGATCAAAACGATTCTTTAAAAAAAATAATTTTAAATTTTAAAAAATATTTTTATTTAATTCTCTCTACCTGCTTTAACAAATGCCTGACAGTATTTTCTCTTGTAAAAGGAAGGCAGGCAAAAGCAATTACATAATACAAAAAATTCAAAAAAGTTAAAATAGCCACAAACAAGAATCCCCACCTTAAAATTTCTATTAAAAATTATTTTTTTAAATTATCCAACCAAATAAAAAGGTAAATCTTTTCATTGTATGTATTTATTCGAAGATGGCATTGAAGTGTGTAGCGAGTAGAACGTTCAGCATCTCCCAAACGACGGATAGAGACATCACAAAGCGTTAAACGTGGAAATGTTGGGGAATCCTTTTAAAAGATTTTCTTTTTAATTTTTAAAAATAATCGTCTTCATTTACCTGCCAATTTTTACCAGTAACTAAAGATCTCAAAACATCAAATCCCCACCAGCTATAATTGTGGCCAATAAAAAAGTTAAGAAGACAAAATTGAACAAAGACGTTGAGCAAATATAGCAATTTGATAAATATATACAAACACTTAAAATTAAAAAAATAAATTTTTAAAAATATTTGTTTAATAATTTAACTATTTTTGTAAAAAACAAAAAATTAAGATTTTAAAATGAATATTATTTTATTGTAATTTACTCCCCCTTTTACCCACACTTATTTGTTCTCCTCTTTAAATTCCCCTTTTTTAACTGAAAAAAATCTTTTAGAGTTATACTCTTTATTTTTAATTAAATTAGAACCGGAAATTAATTAAAAAATTTTTCTCACCGTAACAAAAGAACCAGAGCCGATAGAAAAAGCAGGAATTTTTGAACGAAAATAATTTTTTCGATTTATAACAGTCTGAAAATTCAATTTAAAATATAAAAAGATACTAATAATAAAAACCTCTCCGATTCTTTCCCCCAGAGTTCTCAAAAGAGTTGGCCTTTCAGCATCATTTAACTTCATCTTCTTTAATCTGTTGCACTCTTTGAGAAATTTGATGAATTCGATACCTGTTAATATTTAAGCATTGGTTAATTAAAATAATCTGAATTGAAACATATACGAGGAGAATAATGAGGGCACACGAAAATGGGAGAATTAAATCTTTTACCGCTATGCTGGTGAAATCCATTCCATAAAAAGTTCGGCAACATAAAAAGCATTGATTGGAGGAATAACATGATAGGCACCCACTAAATGAAAAAAAATAAAGATAAAATAAATCTGCGATAGAAAATATTGCATAAAAATTTCAAAAATCCAGCAAACATTAAATAAAATTAAAAAACAAAAATCCCAAATAAAGTCAAAAAAATTTCTAAAAATAATATTTTTCTAAACAAACATGATAGTATCCAATTTGACGTTCTCTTCGCCCCTCATTTGACCAAGGAATATTTTGCTCCGGCGGAACATAGTAGGTATTCTTTGACTGACAGTAATCTAAAGCAAATTCACGTTCGTCATCATCCAAATCAGGCGTTTTCTTAATTTTAAATTAATTTTAACTTTTAAATAAAAACATACTAAACAACGCATTGGCTCCATACCAAAAGAACCAAAACTTAAAATATAAATACAAATTAAGTTTAACAACAAATTAACAAACATATTTGCAGTAACTGACATAACACAAAATAAAAGTAAAATAGGAACAATTTGACAATTAATTCTGTCGATGATATCCGAAAAATTTGCTTTAGGCCGTTCAAACCATGACAAAAATGTTTTGCCTAAAAATATGTGTATTAAAAATGAATTAATTTAACCACCTAAAAGAGGTTGATTCTGCCCAAAGAAGGGAAGATTGTGAACGCCATTTATAACAGTGCCTCTTAAAATAATTAAAATGAAAAATTTTTTTAATTAAAAGGAACTCACGAATTGGGCCAAGAAGAATTTGATGAACTCCAACCACCACTACTATAAGACATTTTAAAGTTCTAGGTATTTCGATAAAATTTGGTTAAAAAATGAAAATATGTGAAGATATAAATCAAAAAAGAAAGTCTAACAAAAAAGAGTTTTGATAAAAAATAAAAATACAATTAAAAAAGTTCAACAATTCAACGAATACAATGAAAAAAAATATAGATATTTCTAGAGACCGGCGCGGGACGGGATCCCGACAGGATTTTCCGGGATCCCGCTCCCGAAATCCCGGATTTTTTTGATTTTCGGGATCATTCGGGATCCGGGATTTTTTCGGGACTTATCCCTCGGGATCCCGTCCCGGCATCGGTCAAAAAATAAAATCCCGACTCGGGATCCCGGATATTTTTTTATAATTTTCGGGATTTTTATAAATTTCAAAATTTTCGCCTGCGGCACTGAAAAAAGAAGAAATCTGGCTTCTTGTCCTCCCAAAATTCTCAAAATTTTCGCCTGCGGCGCTGAAAAAGGAAGAAATCTGGCTTTTTGCTCCTCAAAATTCTCAAAATTTTCGCCTGTGGCGCTGAAAAAGTAAGTCCGTCGACTTCCTATTGTCCGTCGAACTCCCAATGGGGATTGTAAGACTGCTTTGATTTACAACAAAGCTTTGATATGACAGATCTTTACTTTTCAGAACATATCGGGGGACTTATACGAGGGACTTATACGACTATCGTCGATATAGTTTTGCTCCTAACACGGGAGAGATTTTGATTTTTTAAAACAAAGCCACTCCAGTTATAAAAAATATTGATATTTTTACAAATTTAATTTTATTTACATATATATTGCAGTATTTTATGCACTTTATTCATAAAATGTTTAAATTTTTTATTTTGAAAAAAAATCCCGAATCCCGGGCGGGATCCCGGATAATTTTTCTCGGGATTTTTGAAATTCGGGATTTTTTCGGGATTTCTCCCTCGGGATCCCGTCCCGGCATCGGTTAAGAAAAAAAATCCCGACTCGGGATCCCGGAAGTGCGATTTTGCCGGTCTCTAGATATTTCACTTCTTATTTTAAATGTCAGCCATAAAACTCACTTTGGCATTAATATAAGCTTTGGCATTATGTTATATTTTTTGGCGGAAGTCCAGTTGAGTAACGGCCGGTTGAGTACCTAGTAGAGACCGGCGCGGGACGGGATCCCGACGGGATTTTCCGGGATCCCGATCCCGAAATCCCGGATTTTTTTGATTTTCGGGATCATTCGGGATCCGGGATTTTTTCGGGATTACTCCCTCGGGATCCCGTCCCGGCATCGGTTAAAAAATAAAATCCCGACTCGGGATCCCGGAAATTTTTTTATAATTTCCGGGATTTTTATAATTTTCAAAATTTTCGCCTGCGGCGCTGAAAAAAGAAGAAATCTGGCTTCTTGTCCTCTAAAAATTCTCAAAATTTTCGCCTGCGGCGCTGAAAAAGGAAGAAATCTGGCTTAAGGAACTCCAAAATTCTCAAAATTTTCGCCTGCGGCGCAAGGAAGGAAGATTTTTGGCTTAAGGATCATCCAAAATTTTAAAAATTTTCGCGTTTTGAGTTATTATTGGAGTAAAGTGAAGGAAGGAATATTAATACATAGTGTGATTTTATCAAGGGACCTAGTGATTAATCCACCGATATCCCTCTAAATCCATTATAGAGGGAATTAAAGGAGGAGGACAATCCAATTATGAAAAATTATTGATATTTTTACAAATTTAATTTTATTTACATATAAATTGCAGTATTTTATGCACTAAATTCATAAAATGTTGAAATCTTTCATTTTGAAAAAAAATCCCGAATCCCGGCCGGGATCCCGGATAATTATTTTCGGGATTTTTGAAATTCGGGATTTTTTCGGGATTACTCCCTCGGGATCCCGTCCCGGCATCGGTTAAGAAAAAAAATCCCGACTCGGGATCCCGGAAGTGCGATTTTGCCGGTCTCTAGTACCTAGCCATATTTTGGGCCATAACTTTCCCGATTCTTAATTGATTTAAATTATTAATTTATCAATCGAAAGCCCTGGATGTGAGAATTATTTCCGATAACAGGAGTGATTTGATCAGATCATCATATAAAAAGTTATAGCCAAATAAATATCAAAATCACGATTGCGCGCATTTATCTAGATGTAACTTTTTGTAACATGATCTGATCAAATCAATCCTGTTGGAGAAAATAATCCTCACATCCAGAGCTTTCGATTGTTAAAAGATTATTCGAATTAGTACAAAGCCCAAAAAGTTATGGCCCAAATATTGCTCTCGTACTCGACCGGCCGGTACTCTATGATCCCCTGCTCATTTTTTTGACGCGGGAAGTTTGGCGCGACCGGTCTGGATTTAGTTGCGTGCAAGTTCGCAATGTTTGTAGCTGGATTCTATTTTTTACAGTTTTTCGGATGTAGTATGGTTCTACTTTGTCGCCGCGCAATTCTATTAATCTTTCATTTTCGTTTTGCCATATTCTTTTTTTTATTTTTGAGTAATTTTATAATTTAGTTAGATTTGTTTTCATTTTTTTGATTGAATAATGGGGAAATTGTCGGAGAATACACAGGCTGAAGAAGTACCAGAAAATGATGCAAATATTGAGACCATGAAAGAACCTGTAACAGAAAAAGAAGAATATTTATCTCTTTGTCAACTTGTCAATCCAATTTCACAACCTCTCGCGTCTAGAAAATTGGCTAAAAAACTTTATAAGTTGGTGAAGAAATCAGCTAAAGAAAAGGGATCTTTACGACATGGTCTTTCTGATGTCATGAAGGCTATTAGAAAGAATGAAAAGGGTATACTTATACTTGCAGGTTATTTTTAAAATTTTGAATTCACATTTTTATTATATTAGGGCTGTCATTCATTGTAAAAATATTAAATAAATTAATTAATGTCTGACCATTATGAGTTGACTATTAATTTTTCCGCTCATTCAGGAATATTAATTTTCCCGTCCCTTAAAATTCCCATGATATTTTTAATGGAGTAATAAATTTTTCCAAAAATGGTCCACTGTGTTCGCTTCCTTGCTCGTTGTGAACTCCTTTTTACTTTTCTTGAATCCTATACAAATGGGATTACTCTCATATTCGATTTGTAACTCTAATTTAAATTTTTTAAGGAAATGTTTCGCCAATTGATGTATACAGTCACATTCCAGCACTCTGTGAGGAAAAGGTTAACTAAAACTAACAATAAACAAATTATTTGTTCAGTATTTATTTGTTCATTATCTCGTTTTTAGGAAATTCCGTATGTTTTTACACCTTCCAGAGAGCATTTGGGACTCTGTGCAGGCAATTTGAATTCTGATTTTTATATATAATTTTTTCAATATTCAGGGTACAAGCGTCCAGCAATTGTTTTAATGGTTAAGAAGCATGAATCTTACAGTGAACTTTATGACGATGTTTATTCTCTAGTTAATGCTCTCGTAGTTGAGCCAATAAATTCGTGAATTTTCCATTTTGTTTTTGAAATAAATTGTTTTTGTTTTTTAAATCTCTAATTTTATGCTTGCCCCAATCATTGAAATATTTATGATTATTTTTTTAATTAAATATTTACTAATCGTTAAGACTTGAGCTTAGTTATGCGCGAACCAGATGATAGTTCAGAATCTAATGTGAGTTTTGGTTATATGTATATTGCTCGATGATTTTTTCTTTTTAGCGTGCTCGTAGCGGGCTTGTTGTCCAGATACCTGAAGAACCTTCTGAGCTGGTTTCAGTGAAGGTTTTTATTAAAACCGTAAGTATTTGCTCTTGGGCTTTTATTTTTCTAGCAAAGATAAATTTATCTAACAATAAGTTTCATTTTATATTTTAGTCCAATTGTCCAAAACGTGTTGAACTCTGTAGTGGTTGTTCGAATAAAATAAAACAATTCCTTTGCGGAGAATCTTCAGACAATGATCTTAATGATGAACTTAATGTGGCATTGCGTAATTCGGATCAGAATCATGTCAGTGAACGAGTAACTACTAATTCAACTGTGGAAGGAGTAAATGGAGTTTTAAACGGGAACGATTCTTTAAAGGATAACAACAATGAACAAAATTCTATTGCGGACATAAATTCTAATGAAGTTGTTAATGAAACTCAAGGTTTGTTTACAATAATTTTTATGTTATTTCAAATTAACAGAATTTATTAATTGTGATGGTTGTTTGGTTTCTGATGTGGAAGTGGACTCAGTCACTAATGATTTTGTTGAACCTGAAATGAATAATTTGTTAGAAGAAATTGACCTTGCAAGTTCACCTATTCAAATAACAACTTGTGTCCCACCAGCTCTTTCAACGAATGAGATCAATATTGAACATCAGAAAAATCAAAATAATGAAATTAATATTGATGATGGACAACACTGTACTTCTATGGAGATTGATAAAATTTTGGACATAGATGGTGGTATTAGTGAAAGTGTTACTACAAATAATTTAATGAAAGATATAAGCATTGACGGAGCGTTTGAAAATCTTAATTCTGCAATAAGTACCATTAAAGAGCAACAAATAAAAATAAATAATGCGGCTGATGACGAAGCGATAGAGAAGTGTGGAATGGGGAATTGCGAAGTGATAATTAAAAATTCTGATTTTGATCGGCTCGCAAAAATTATAGAGAGTGTAAGTAATTTTATCCGATTTATATATTTTGAACATAAGACTAGTTAATCTTTTGCATTTTTTACTATCAAAAAATCTTATAATTTAGGGACAAAGACGGAAGAACATTATTAATAGCTCTGTAGAGGATGACGATATCAACGCCGAGTTGGATAGACAAATACGGACGGTAGATAATCTATTACGTGGAGGAAATCGTAAATCAAGGAAGGATTCCATCTCTTCTCCTAAAGTTTATGACACTGAATGTGAGGATAGTGAGCACGTAAATGATGAGAACGAAAATCGATCTAGTGCTGCTTCTTCTGTATCAGATTCTCAGAAGTCTAAAAATTCTTTTCTTAGAAAGCGTGTAAGTATTTACAAATTATCTGTTATCTTAAAATTAGAAAATTAAAATATTTTGTAATTTAGAATTTGAGATCACTCCCTGCTAAACAATCAAAAAATTCGAGCGAAAATGGAAGCAATGGAAGTAGTGATTGGCTTTCAAAGAATAATGCTGAAAAGAGTGAGGCTTCTACCGAGAGTCCTGACGAAAGTGATTCTGACACAGATGATACTTTTGTTGAAGCACCGAAGTTGACGCCAGCTCAGCGACAGGCTGACGCGGTTAGTCTTAAATGCGAATTTATGTTTTTTCAAGTTCTCGAGTAAACTTGATTTTAATTTTTTTACTTAGGAAGTGAGACGTTTACTTCGTGATACTCGCGTTAAAATTTCTGATAGTGATGGTTCTGATGCTACTATAATAAAAACTGATGGTGATGATTCTGATAGCGATTCAGATAGAAAGAATCGGAGAGCTAAATCCAAAAGGTAAACTTTACTTCCTTTGTCGTTATAGTCTAAAAATCTAAACTTATTATTATAGACTTAAACTCAAGGATCTTAATTCTGATGAAAATGACGTTTCAAATAAACCGTCCTCTTCTAAAATAATTTCATCAGACGAACCAAAAAAACGAATGACTGCCAAAAAAGTCAAATAAATTTATGGCTATAATAATTTAAAAATTTATTTTTCAGTCTCATATAGGCAAAAATCTGGACGGTCCAAATAGGAAGAAAAGGCGGATTATTTATTCTGACGATGATGGAGATGTTCATTCATTAGATGGAGTCGAAAATAACAAAATTAGTGATGAGGAAGATTTTCCCAAACAAGTAGGTCGACGAAAAGTTATTCCGAAGGAAAAATTGGCTCAAGCGACTAAAGACGCGGAGAAAGCTGAAAAGGAGCGACGAAAGCGGTTAGAGGAGAAACAGCGCGAGTTCAATGGGATTGAATTGACTATTGATGAGGCTGGCAATGCATCTTTAATCAGTATAGTTATTTTATATTTTTACAATTAGGACGGAGGAATAATTTTTTGAAATAGAACGACCATCAAAGATCTAATTTTAAACTTAAAGATGAACAATCTATTCCCAAATTGAAAAATGTCATTTTGGACAGAGACAGTGAGAGTGAAGCTCCAGTTCCCGTTCGAGTACATCCATTTCTCGTCAAAGTGTTGAAGAAACATCAGGCTGAAGGAATTCAATTCCTCTATAATTGTACAATAGAATCACTTTCTCGATTAGATGAACCTGGTGGTGGAGGTAAAAGTTTTTACTACTTTAATTTTTTATTTTATAAATTTATAGCAATACTTGGTCATTGTATGGGTCTTGGAAAAACTTTGCAAATTATTGCGTTTCTTCACACTATTTTGACACATGAAAAAATTTCAAAGAAAATCAATAAAGTTTTGGTAGTTGTTCCTAAAAATGTTGTTTTAAATTGGATGAATGAATTTGAAAAATGGCTTTATGGGGAGACTGATTCAATTAATGTATGTTTTTATTTATCCGAACAAACCACGAGTGCATTTACGGTCTGGCTATAAAAAATACAAGTATAGTAAAAGTAATATAAGAAAACATGTAAATCATTGAAAAATTTTAAAAAAATATCTACACATTATCATCTTAAATGTTTATCAAAAACAGTACATAGTTTTCAATAATTCACTGAATTCCTTGGGCTTGTTAATTTTCATAGACTTCAAAAAAACTTTAACTTTTTAATTATTTCAAAGCTAGTAGTCAGATCTTTTTCTTTTAGTATTTATTTTATGTAAAATGAGATTTTTAAATCTAACTTACATTAAATTAACATTTAGTATATTTATTTTTGCTAGTATTCGGAATTAGACTCTTGGAGGACTTATGAAGAACGTCTCAAAGCAATTAAACGTTGGATTAATTTTGAAGGACCGTCAGTGCTTATAATTGGTTATGAATTATTTAGAATTCTAACTTTTACTGATGAGGATAAAGCTAATATGAGTAAAAATCGCAGGAAGAATGTACCTTTGAAGAAGAAATTGCCAGCAACTAAAAAATTGGATAAGCTTAGGCCACAGTTTTGTGAATATCTACAAAATGGTGAGAAGATCTACTTTTATAAAAATATTTTTATTTTAGCTCCACATTTACTTGTTTGTGATGAAGGACATAAACTCAAATCACCTTCAACAGCGCTTTTCTATACAATTGACAAAATAAAAACGCTGAGGCGAATTTGTATGACTGGGACACCCCTTCAGAATAATTTAGAAGAGTATTATTGGTTTGTTTTAAAATTATCTATAAAAATACATTCTCTTTTAACTTACATTAAACTGCCTTATTGTAATACTAATATAATTACAAAATAGTCGAGGGTGCAATGATTATCAAATTATGTTTAGGACGTTCCTATAACTGTTCATCAAGAATTTAAATACCTTGATAAAAATTTTTGTTTCTTATTTATCCTTTTATTAATATTTAAAATTTAAGTATGGTCAACTTTGTAAAGCCAAATCTTCTTGGTAGCCTCGATGAATTTAAGAGCCGTTTTTCTAATATAATAAAATGTGGAAGATCAAAAGATGCAAGTGCTTATGATGTTCGTCGAATGCGTAGAAGATGCCATGTACTTTTTGATCGACTTAAATGTGTATTAGATTGGCGGGATTATAGTGTTTTGAGGTTTTTTTTGAATATTTATCCTTTCTCTTATTTGATTTTTAAAAGGAATTCTCTTCCTCCGAAACAAGAATATGTTATAAATATTCGCCTAACTAAAGTTTATTTTATTTATAAATTCAAAAAAAAATTTATTAAGGTCCAAATAGATTTGTATAAAAAATACTTGGATTTTCGAAATTTAACTGAGGAAAAACGTGGAACTAATGATGTTGGTGTGAGACTTCTTTATGATCATTTGATGTTTGTTTTTCTAATTTTTTTAAATACCTAGACCTAGTATTTTTTCCCTTTTTTTTTAAAAATAGAAAGGGGTTTTTAGGGTTGGAAGGATAGAGTAAAAGTTAACAGCTGGACAATAATGAAAAATTGTTAATTTTTAATAATTTATAATTAAGTCTTTATCGTGTTTGGACGCATCCATACCTTTTGGTAGAACATGTGAAACGTGAACAATATAAATCTCAAAATTCAATTGATGACTTCATTGATGATGACTATGATTCAGAGGCAGAAAGTAATGATTCTGATGATATTGTCGCTATGTAAAATTCATTTTAAATGTTTATGTAGCAAATATTTTATTATTCAGAGATGCATTAAATGACAATCCCTCTACCTCTTCTGCTAACAATAAGAATAACGAGTTCGAAAATCCTTTAGAAAATTGGGCAAAAGATTTAGTTTCTGAAAAGGATCGAAATAATTTTGCATTGAGCAACAAATTACTACTACTTATTGAAATTATTAAAAAATGTGAGAAGATTGGAGATAAATTGTAAATTTTAAAGAAATTAATTAAAATTAAACTTAAAAATAACTTAAAAATCTATTTAATATCAATCAGCACTTTTTGATTGAACCATCAAAATGTCCTAAAAATATAATGGTTTTTAGAAAAATATTTTTAATCAACAACTTGGTGTAAAGCATTTCAAAACGTATTTTCAATCCCATCAAAAACCTAAAATGCATTGAATAAAAATGCACATAAAAATGCACAAAATTATTAAATTAATTTCTTTTCAGACTCGTTTTCTCGCAATTTTTGAGTTCTATTGCTCTTATGGAACGAATGCTAAGATATTTTACTCAGAGTTCTGGGTGGTTTGTGGATGGACATCGAGCTTTAATGATGGCAGATGGAGAAAAGTGGGGATGGCATAAAGGCGTAGATTATTCAGTTATTGATGGAAGTGTTTCTATTGTTTTACGTGATCAAATTCAAAAGGATTTTAATGATCCTTTAAATTTAAGGTTAAATTATAAATACAATTTAATTAAATATCAAGTAATTTATAGGAATCGTCTTTTGCTTATTTCTACAAAAGCAGGCTCTTTGGGTACTAATTTGATTGGTGCAAATAGAGTTGTTATTTTTGATTGTATGAAATTTTATTCATTTTGAAAATTTAAAATTTTTTAGGTTCTTGGAATCCATCTCACGATACTCAGAGTTTATTTAGAGTTTATCGATTTGGACAAGTTAAGCCTGTTTATATATACAGATTTGTTGCTCAGGTTGTAATTTTATTTTTGTTTTTAAATTGTTTTTTTTTTCAATTGTTAGGGGACGATGGAGGAACGTATTTATAATCGACAAGTAACCAAAGAATCAATAGCAAAACGAGTTACTCAAGCTGCCCAAATCCAAAGACATTACACGAGTCAAGAATTAGAAGAAATGTATCTTTTTGAACCAGATACTCTTTCAAATGATAAACTTGATGGACAAGGACCTCGCTTAGACCCTCCAAAAGTTTTTTTCCTAAAATATTTGTAATAAAATGTTTTCTTTTGAGGATCGTCTGTTGGGTGATATTATTTTGGAGAAAACGGATGCAATTGTTAGTTATCACCCACATGACATATTATTCGACGAATTGGAGGATGAAAGACTTAATGATGAGGTATTAAACTTAATTATCTTTAGTTTTGCGAGCACCAAACAATTGAATAAAATGTTAATCAATTTAGGAACGAGCCGAGGCGTGGAAAGATTATGAGCAAGAACGTGAGGGACGTGCTGCTCGACAACAGCCTATAAATGGTGGTTTGAATCCTCAACAGATTCAAATACTTGATAGTTTACAACAGCAATTTCCTGGGCAACCTTTTGGAAGAGGTTAGTCTTTATCAGATGTTTTATTACCTTCAAAATAATTTTTTAAAGATTTGCGCATTCTTTTTAATTACTTCCCACATGATGGTGTCTTTAATAAATGCTTAGCTGTGCAAGGAATAACGCGCGACATGGCTTTGCATATATTCCGTATTAAGGCTTTTCTTGGATATTTTATTTATCAAATACCTCAAAATTTGGCTGGTGATGTTAACAACGCTGATAAAGTTAACAGAGTTTTTCTGGGTATTTTGGATGTAAGTCTTTTTTATTCTTGTAATTTTTAATTCGACAAGTATAACAAACTCATTAATTTACACCACAATTTTCTTATTAGAATGCGTTGCAAAACAATGAGAGCGCCCAAACTGTTTATCAAAAAGCATTGTTTGCTTTAAGAACAACAGTCAAACTAGTTCGAAATGTGCCTCAATGCTCTATTGGACTTGCTTATGCTGCTGGATTATTTCCAGATTTGAATATTGAAGAAAATACGACCAATGGCTAATAATTTTGATATTTTTATTATATTTTTGAAAGTTTTAGTTTTTTATGTTTGTAAATTTCGCATAGTACTTTATTTAGACGATTTATTGCAAATTGATTCCCTCTTACCTTGACACTTTTGAACATTGATCTTTTATTGATAAACATTCAGCTTAAATTCTTTTGGTTTTGCATTGTTTATATGTTCATTTTTATTTCTGATTAATTATTGTTCTGATTTTTATTTAGAGAAGCTTTTCTGATTAGCATGAAGGCGTTCCTGTGTTCTTCTCCATTACAAATAGACAGTGATGACAATGACATAATTGTAGATTACGAAGAAGCAGATAGTGATAGGTATATTTTATGATAACAGTTTCTTTAGTCCAGCCTTGAATAACTAATTTTCTTTGCATTTTTTGAAGGAAATGTGTAATTCTTTCTGACGATGAGTGCAAGGTCAATTCAAATGGAAATTTTCCTTCTACCTCATTAAAAAAGGTTTTTCTTTATGTTGTCAATTTTATTTTTTGTTCAGAATAATGTGAATAGTTTAATTTGTGAATCTAAAACAAAAAAGAAGGCAGATATTATTTGCATTGATGATGATGATCTTCTTAAACTTAGTGACGATGATGATTTGGCTGAATATACTGGTGATAAACACAATATCCCTCTTGTTAGGCTGGCACAAGAAACGTTGGATGCTGAGAAATCTGAGAGGGAAAGACGAAAACGATTGGAAGAATCTAAAAGTGTTTTTAATGGTATTGAATTAAATACTGACGATTCGGGATGTAGCACCTTTGAATGTACAGGTATATTTTTCAAATAAGTTTTGCTCACCTTTTGAAAAGTTTCTCTTTTAATAGTTTTATTTTAAGATGAACACGGAAATCCAACGTTGAAAAGTGTCATGTTGGACCGTGACAGTGAGAGTGAAACTCCAATTCCCGTTCGAGTACATCCATTTCTCGTCAAAGTGTTGAAGAAACATCAGGCTGAAGGAATTCAATTCCTCTATAATTGTACAATAGAATCACTTTCTCGATTGGATGAACCTGGTGGTGGAGGTAAAAGTTTTTACTACTTTAATTTTTTATTTTATAAATTTATAGCAATACTTGGTCATTGTATGGGTCTTGGAAAAACTTTGCAAATTATTGCGTTTCTTCACACTATTTTGACACATGAAAAAATTTCAAAGAAAATCAATAAAGTTTTGGTAGTTGTTCCTAAAAATGTTGTTTTAAATTGGATGAATGAATTTGAAAAATGGCTTTATGGGGAGACCGATTCAATTAATGTATGTTTTTATGAAATTAATTTAGTATTTTTATTCTTGCTAGTATTTGGAATTAGACTCTTGGAAGACTCACGAAGAACGTCTCAAAACAATAAAACGTTGGATTAATTATGAAAGACCTGCTGTGCTTATAATTGGTTATGAATTATTTAGAATTCTAACTTTTACCAATGAGGATAAAGCTAATATGAATAGGAATAAAAGGAAGAATATACCTTTGAAGAGGAAATTGCTAACATCAAATGAAGAAAAGTTAGCAAACCTTCGGCCACAGTTTTGTGAATATCTACAGAATGGTAAGTACTTTTTTGGGGAAAAGTGATGTCCGCTAACCTAAATTTTGGCTTTATGAAACAGAGCTGGGTTGTAGCTATTTATTTCTCTTTTAGATAGTTCAAAAGGTTATTCGGCTTTTTATTATTTGCCTAATTAAAAATCTTAAATTGATGAATAACAACCCAGCGAATCAAAATCCAAAATTGCGGAAATTACTTTTTCACACCTGTTTATATTTTTTAGCTCCACATTTAATTGTTTGTGATGAAGGCCATAAACTCAAATCACCTTCAACAGGGCTTTTCCATACAATTAATAGAATAAAAACGAAGAGAAGAATTTGTATGACTGGAACACCCTTACAGAATAATTTAGAAGAGTATTATTGGTTTGTTTAAAAATTATCTTATCTATAAAAATATATTTTTCTTTTTACTCTTACCAAATGCCTTATTGTAATACTAATATAATTACAAAATAGTCGGGGGGAGAAAAATCAGACGGAGCACACCTTAATATGTTCTACATTTTTTGTTCTTTAAGTATGGTCAACTTTGTAAGGCCAAATCTTCTTGGTAGTCTTGATGAATTTAAAAGCCGTTTTTCTAATATAATAAAATGTGGAAGAGCAAAAGATGCAAGTGCTTATGATGTTCGTCGAATGCGTAGAAGATGCCATGTACTTTTTGATCGACTTAAATGTGTATTAGATTGGCGTGATTATAGTGTTTTGAGGTTTTTTTTGAATATTTCTACTTTCTCTTATTTGATTTTTAAAAGGAATTCTTTTCCTCCGAAACAAGAATATGTTATAAATATTCGCCTAACTAAAGTTTATTTTATTTATAAATTCAAAAAAAATTTATTAAGGTCCAAATAGATTTGTATAAAAAATACTTGGATTTTCGAAATTTAATTGAGGAAAGACGTTGTGCAAGCGGTGAAGTCGGTATCAGACTTCTTTATGATCATTTGATGTTTGTTTTTTTTTAATTTTTATTTTAAATACTTAACCCTAGTATTTTTCCTTTTCTTCAAAAATATAAATGGTTTTTAGGGTTGGAAGGGAAAAATAAGAGTTTAACAGCTAAAAAATAATGAAAAATTACTAATTTTTATTATTCTAATTTAATAATTCAAGTCTTTATCGTGTTTGGACGCATCCATACCTTTTGGTAGAAAAAATGAAACTTGAGCAAAATAAATCTTCTCAAGCTTTAATCGATGATTTTATTGTTGATGATTATGTATCTGACACAGAAAGTAGTGATGCTGATGATATTGTTGTTATGTAAAATTAATTTTAGAATTAAAAAAAATTTATTTTATAGGAATAATCCCTCAACCTCTTCCACTAAAAATAACGAGTTGGAAAGGAAATCTTTGAAGAGAATGCATAATGATCTCAAAATAAATAATTCTTCACCTTCTATAGAAAATTGGGCAAAAGATTTAATTTCAGAAGATGATCGAGATAATTTTGCTTTAAGCAACAAATTACTACTACTTATTGAAATTATTAAAAAGTGTGAAAAGATCGGAGATAAATTGTAAATTTTAAAAAGATTAATTAAAATTAAATTTAAAAATAATTCAAAAACTAACAAACTTTTTTGTCAATCAACACTTTCTGATTAAACTATCAGAATGTGCTAAAAATATAATTCGACCCAACCTAAAAAGCCTAAAATGATTGAATAGGGCCTATAAATTATTAAATTAATTTCTTTTCAGACTTGTTTTCTCTCAATTTTTGAGTTCTATTGCTCTTATGGAACGAATGCTAAGATATTTTACTCAGAGTTCTGGGTGGTTTGTGGATGGACATCGAGCTTTAATGATGGCAGATGGAGAAAAGTGGGGATGGCATAAAGGCGTAGATTATTCAGTTATTGATGGAAGTGTTTCTATTGTTTTACGTGATCAAATTCAAAAGGATTTTAATGATCCTTTAAATTTAAGGTTAAATTATAAATACAATTTAATTAAATATCGAGTAAATTATAGAAATCGTCTTTTGCTTATTTCTACAAAAGCAGGCTCTTTGGGTACTAATTTGATTGGTGCAAATAGAGTTGTTATTTTTGATTGTATGAAATTATATTCATTTTGAAAATTTAAAATTTTTTAGGTTCTTGGAATCCATCTCACGATACCCAGAGTTTATTTAGAGTTTATCGATTCGGACAAGTTAAGCCTGTTTATATATACAGATTTGTTGCTCAGGTTGTAATTTTATTTTTTGTTTTTAAATTGTTTTTTTTCAATTGTTAGGGAACGATGGAGGAACGTATTTATAATCGACAAGTAACCAAAGAATCAATAGCAAAACGAGTTACTCAAGCTGCCCAAATCCAAAGACATTACACGAGTCAAGAATTAGAAGAGATGTATCTTTTTGAACCAGATACTCTTTCAAATGATAAACTTGATGGACAAGGACCTCGCTTAGACCCTCCAAAAGTTTTTTTCCTAAAATATTTGTAATAAAATGTTTTCTTTTGAGGATCGTCTGTTGGGTGATATTATTTTGGAGAAAACGGATGCAATTGTTAGTTATCATCCACACGACATATTATTTGACGAATTGGAGGATGAACGACTTAATGATGAGGTATTGAAATAAATAATTTATTTAAAAAATTTCTTTTGAAATAGGAACGAGCAGAAGCATGGAGGGACTATGAGAGAGAAAGAGCAGGGATATCTTATGATGGTGGACCTCTTGGTAATCAAGCACTTCCACCACTCTTCCCCGCAACTCAACTTTTTCAACAACAACAGGCTTATCAATTGGCATTACAACAACAATTCCAGTTTTCAAAATGTAAATTATCAATACCCTGGGACGAAGAGAAAGTTTTCCCCAATTTTAATCGCTGAAGACTCCCCACCCTTTTTTTCTTTATATAAAACATTAATCTTTATTTTAAAATAGACATAAAGATTAATGTTTTAATAAAAAAAATTAAGATAAACACTTTAATCTTTATTTTAGCTATGGAACTTCTTTTCCAATTATATCGAAGTGATCGAATTTACAATAGAAGTTTAAAAGTAAATGGAATGACACATCAAATGGCAATGTCAATATTTAAAATTAAGACATTTCTTGCTTATTTTATTTATTTTGTTCCAAAAAATTTGTCAGGCAAAGTAAATGATTCTGAGGGAGTTAAAAGATATTTTGTGTCTATTGTTGATGTATGTAATTAAAAAACTTTTGGAAAAATTTAATTAATTTTCAGCAAGCATTGCAACAAAATGAAAGTCCACAAGTTCTTTATGCAAAAGCTTTGTTTATTTTAAGTACTACAATTAATTTGGTTAAAGATTTACCCCAATGCAGTATTGGTGTACGTTATATTTCCAATCTTTTTCCTGATATTGAAAAAATTGGGAAAAATATATTATAAATTATTTGAAGAAAATACGTTTTTTTTATTTTATTATTTTTGTGATTTTGCTTAATTAATTTTTAAATTAATTGTTTTTGTATTTTTATAAAGCTTGCATCTTTTATCTTTCACATTTTTATATTTGCATTTGTAAATGTCGAAATGAAATAAATTTGTAAGAGCTAAGTTTTTACTGTAATATCTTTTAGTTGGAAATTTTCATGAAGAATTATAAGAAATAGATAAGCTCGTGATTTGAGACTAAAAAGTTAAAATGGGGTAACTTGAGATTGAAATTGTAATCTTTAGGATGCGTAAATTTACTGTTAGATGCCGGTGATTCGGCGGTGCCGGTGATTCGGTTCCTATTTTTGGTTTGGATTTAGTGTTCGAATTTTTGATATCCATGATTTCCCAGGATCTGCCGACTTTTTTCCAATTTCATAGAATTAAAGAAGATCCAAATGAACCTAACATAACAAATATGTATTTTACCTGTAAATTATTTTCCATTGTAGAATCTAATTTTATTACGTGAACCGGGTTTATATTTACTTTTTAGTGCAGAAACTTTCGGCCCAGTTAGTATAGTGGTTAGTACTTCTCGTTGTGGCCGAGACGACGCAGGTTCGATTCCTGCACTGGGCATCGTTTTTCTTAAAATTATCTTTGTCGCCGTTACAACTGAAAACTATCTTTCAAAGTTGTATATTTTTAGAAATTTTTTCAAAATTATGATTATTAAATATTTATAATTAAAGAAATACAATAAATAATGTCAAACGGGAGGTGGCAATCAATCGCTATAATTAATTAATTTTTCAACAAGTTTTCTTTTCAAGTCAAATATTTTTCACTGGGTTTCGGCTGATTGCTCTATGATATGCATAAAATTCCTTAAGTTTTGTTGTCGTCTCAGCAATTGGCTTAAAAATTTAAAATTAAAAAATTATTTTTTTTTTAAATTCTAACCAAATTCATTCTATTTTCATCTTTTTCTGCAATTTGAAAGAGCATTTCAATATGAACTAATGGCAATAAAGAAAGCATTTCATCTGGGCCCTCACTACTTTTTGTCAAAGGATTAATAATAATTTGTTGTGCAGTCTTTTCATTTAAATGTTTTTTGATTGTTTCTATTTGTACTAATAAAATTGAAAATGCATCTGACAAATCTCCATAATCAATTAATAAACGAAGTAAATCACCAAAATTAATTTCCTATAAAAATTTTTAATTAAAATTATTACAGTCAAATTTCTATATGTCACCTATCAGAAATGAGAGGACGTAAAAGGGAAAGTAAAGTGGGAGGGAAAGAAGTTATCGAGAGCTTCTATTGTGTTTTTATTTGAGTTAACTTTTTTTTAATTTTCATTATGTCCCGGTTATGTTAATAAAAGACAAAAAGTCTTCAAAAAATATTTCAAAAAACTAACAGAATATTTTAGAACAAGCCAACCAGGCAATTTTATAGAAAATTTAAGAAAAACATTAGCAACTGTTCGAAGAATTGAAGAATCGTGGGGAGATAATTTAAGAGATAAATCCAAATAGGAAATAACAATACGCCAATGCGGTTTTTGATTTCTAAAATTAAAAAAATTATTAAAAAAATATTTTCCTTTAAAATTCAAACCCTCCAATGCTTAAATCTCTAATAAAATTTGAATTACAAAAGACCCATTCAGGCAACTTTTCCTCCTCTTCTTGTCTATCACTCTCATTAATTTCTTTTTTAATATATTCATTATTTAATTCATTGTCAATTCGAATTGCTTCTTCTGTAATTTGAGCTAATAAATCATTTGGCTTTAATCCATATTCCCTATAAAAAATTAAAAGAAAATTATTTTTTAACAAAAAAAACTTTATTAATAGCCAAGCCATATCATAACGTTTATAACGAAGTGATTCGTACAATATTCCAGCTTCTTCCAAAGGAGGTACTATTGTTGGGTCAGCATCAATTAATGCAAGTCTTGCTTCTATTTTAAGTAATTCTCTAGAAATGTCTGCTTTTGTAATTAAAAGTTGTTTTTTATTTGGTTCTAAAAAACAAATTATTTTATTTTAAAATAAATTTTGTATAACCGCTAATATTTCCATCATTATCAACAAATTCAAATTCTTCATCTATCTCTTCTGGTGATTTTTCTCTGTCAATGTTTTGCTTAAAAAATGATATTTTAAATATTTATTAAATGTAAAAATAATTGTTTAATTAAAAACAAACATTTTTTCTATATTTCAAATTATTTAGATAATAATATAAAACCCTCCAAAATCAAAAAAATATTCCAAAATTTTATTAAAAATAATTTATAAATTTTCAAATACCTTTTCTTCAATATCATCCAAAACAATCAAAACCCCATCATTTTTATTATTTTCACAAATTTGTATTGTTTGAAAGATTGTCGCTAAAGTATTACATCTTCTTTGTAAAAGTGCTTGGTCTTGAATTTCGCTTCTTAAACGAATTGAAAGTTCATACATTAATTTGGCAGCTTTAAAAAATAATTTTAATTTAAATTTTCCTCAGTTTCTTTTTTTTAAACCTTTAATATATTCACATCTAGAAATGTGAAAAGCATATGCAATATTGTACATACTATAACTTCCAGTTCCACTTCCAACCATTTCTGCTTTACAACGAGCTTCAAGTATTTCTACTACCATATCAGCCAATTCTCCATAAGGAAGGGCAACAAGAATTTTTGTTTGTTGAGTATCCAATAAATGAGTAATTAATTGATAAAGACAGACAGATTGTCTTTTTCTATTTGGATTTTGGAGAACAGCGCGGACGGCTTCCCAATAAGTTTTGGTTAATAAATGTTGAGTAAATAATGTTGCATAAACTTCTGACTAGAAGAAAAAAATTAATTTTTTTTAATTCAAAAAAATCTTTAACCAAAAGTAATTCATCTCTATCACCATTTGCATGTTTTACAGCCATACTTCCAGCTAAAATAACATATTCAGAATGTTTATGTTCTTTAAATATAAACATAATCTATAAAAAAATATTTTTTTAATCAAACAAAAAAATATATTTCCCTTACTTTATTATAATATTCAATAAGTGAATGTTTATTATTATTTTTTATTGTTCTCTCGTCAATAGGAAAATTATTATTATTTTGCCGTTGTTCATTATTTGCCAATAGATTAACAGATGGTGATGGATATAAATTACAAAGTAATTTATTCAAAACTTCATCTCCATTTTCAATTCCTTTTGAAATTTCTTGAAATATTGTCCAAGCAGTTTCCGGTTTATTTTGTCCAGAACAAGCTATTGCTTGAAGAAATTGAAAAGAATAATTTAATTCTGATGGAAATGGCTCATTTAAAGAACAATAATTCTAAAAATTTTTTTAAATAATTTCTAATTAAATTTATTTTACTTTTAAAGCATCAAAGAAATTGCTTTCTGCCAAAAAACAAGGCAAAGTTAAAGTATGTGATTCTGGCCAAAGAACATTTAACATTCCTTCAATTAAATCAGCAAAGAAACGACCAAAGCTACTTTGTTGATTCTGTTGCTGTTGTTGCTCTTGTTTTGTACGAGATTTTTTAATAACAGTGTCGTCCCAACGCGAAGGTGGAGGTAATAAATGCATATTTGGAATAACTGAACTATATGAAATGTCATCAGCATGAGTTATATATTCACCATCGTCAAACTAAAAATATACAAAATTATAACATTAAAAGAAGAATAGATCTAGGTTAAAGATAAGCCGTAAATGAAGAACCAAAATTCAGAAATTTTAGGAGCAAGGAAATCGTAATTTTTCATCAAAATCTTTTAGAGTTCAGAGATGAATTTCTCAATAATTTTTAATGTTTCAAAGTTCCCAAATCAATGAAACTAAATTCATTGTTTTGATTCTCCAATCTCTCTCTACCTGTTCATCTTCAACAAATCCATCAAATTGGTCATTTTCAATAATTTCAGGGTCTTCCAAATCATCTTCCATCATTTGATTATCTACAATTCTATTAGCAATTGTCCCATTATCTATTATATCTTCGTCTTCTCTACTCATTGGTCTTTGAGTCATAACAAATTTATCATTTACTCCATATTTTAAAAATGCTTGGGCAACATTTATTTGTTTAGGAATGTTGTCGTGACTTTAATTAATTTTTAAATTAAAGAAATTTTTAGAGAAATTTATTAAAAACCTAACAAGACGAACAGATAAAGCAATCCACAAAGTAGTGTAATAATTAATTGATTGAGCCACTCGACTATTATATGTACTAATTACCATTGCCAATTTTGGGTCTAAACGATCCTCAGACTTTAAAAAAATATTTTTTAAAATTATTTTAATTTTAAAAATTTACAGAAATTAGCAATATTTGTGGAATAACATCAACAAGACTATTAATTAAACAAGCAATTTTAAGACGTGCCAAAACTATAGTTCGAAAAGCCATAGCAATTAAAGCAACAGTAAAATTTGATTGAAGAAAATGAGAACGAAACTTTACCACTAAAAATAATTTTTAAAAAAATTTTTTTTAAATAAGACAAACAGTTGCATGGATTTTTTGTCAATAAAGGAGATGCACGAGAACCAAAACTGCTAATTAAACGACAAACTTCATCTGAATTGTTATTTACTAATTCTGAAGTTTTATTTGGATTGCTTAATTTTGAAGGCTAAAATATTTTTTTGTAAATGAAAAAAAAAATATTTTAAATTTATACATTGCTTGGACGAACTATATCGAAAATTAATTTGGCAATTATATTTGTTGGTTTACAAATTGCTAGCATTTGATCATCTGGAGGCAAATAAGTTGTAAAACGACACTTAAAAAAATTTAGAAAAATTAATTTAAAATAAAAATTTATTTAAACTTTCTGAATAACACCAATTAACCCAGTAGATCCAGATTGCCAAAAAGCTAAAGGCTCTAAAGTTTCTTCTTGGAGTTGGTCACATGTTTTAAGAAAATCTGCCCAAAATTTTTCATATGCTTGTTTAATCTTTGTTTCATCATGTAACAATTCAGTGTCATCAACAGGATCGCCAATATCAACAAGATAAAGCTGTTTAAGCTTAAAACAAAATTTAAAAAATATTTTTATTAAAAAGAAACTTGTCCAGAAGAGAGAAAGTCATCTAGCAAACGACTTAAAGCAATCCAATTTCCATATTCAATTCCATGTTGTGGTTGTTTACAAACAATCTAAAAGTAAAGAAAATATTTAAGAATGAAGGAATTGTTTAATAAAAATGTTTGTTCATAATCAAAGAATTTTTATAAATTTTCTAGGTTGATTTCAAGTTCAGAAATAAAAGTCTTTCCTTAACTGAGAGCCCTTTGGAGAAAAAGAATAGTAAGAAATAGTAAGAATAACCATAAAACTATTATAATTTTATATTTCAAAATATTTTAAAGGTATTA